CCTTGCACGAGCACGGCCGCTCCACGGCGCCTCCACGGCGCTTTTGTTATGCTAATCGGATGTGCTGCGGCGTCGATTCCAAGCACGCTCCTGTATTAATCTCCCTCTCATGCATGGCGCCGCGCTCCTGCGCACCCTAAACTATGCCGCCCCGTCCCTCCTCCGCCTGTCTCGTCGACCCGTGGGGGTGTGTGTGGGGGGGAAATGCGCCTCAACCGCGGTGGCCGAATGCCCTACGCCGCGACCATACCATATTAAGGCTGGTCGCAGCGCCGCGGCGCAATGTAGCACGGGGGAGGTCGTCCAATTCCCTGATCGCCGGAAACCGTGAGAGTTAATCCCGATAAGGGTTTCTCGGATAAAAACCGGCCGATCAGGTGATCTCCCCTTCCAGCTCTATGGGTGGGGGAAAATGCGTGCAGGTGTGTTCATGTGAGGTGAGGCGAGGGGGACGCGGGGGTTTGGCTCCGTTGCTTGGTGGTGGCGAGGTCGGGGATTGGGCGCCTGCCGAACGGCTTCGTGGCGGCGGCATCACACCACACTCATTTTACCATCTCCACTCTGGAATGATTCTGAACATTCTCGTTGCGCACAAACCATAGCAAGCTTTTGTGAACAGAAACCCTTCACAAAAGCTCACATTACACACCCCAAAAATTTACATATTTCAGGGTGTATTTCCTGAGCACCCAGAGAAACCTCATTTATACAAGGCATGCTTCAAATATCTGGTCATACAGGTTCCTGAATGCAATATATTTACTGACATCTGATCACCTTGCAGTCCAGCAGGTTTCAAAGTTTAACAAATGTACAAAGTCCAATTGCTCTTGCATCGAGCACTGGAATGCAGGAGTGCAACACTTCTCGGCTCTGCGAAACACGGCAACAAATTGTTGCTGTTACTACTGTAGTGGGTTTGTATGGAGACGGAGTCTTCGTAGGAGGCAACACGTATTTATTTATAACACCAATAGCAGTAACACTAGGTCCCTAACACGAAGGGGTAATGGCCCCTTCTACCCACAACTTAAGGAGGTATGGCCTCCGGGCTAACGTGCCCTAACTACTATAGGGCTAACCCCTCTTTAGCCTTCCGGCTAGCGAGACCTAGGGGAGGCTGACCCGACCCTGCCAAGGTCCTCGGCAGAGGCGTAGCTAGAGGGGGCAGGGGGGTACATATGTCCCCGGGCGCCAAGGTAAAGGGGCGCCAAAATGAGGCTTACAACGTTACATTATAACTTATTGCGGCAGGCGCGGCAGCCTGAAACTACTGCACAAATCTACACCTCAACCTAAAAGTTTATATATCCCGCCACACACAGCCTACATGTCATATAATGACATTTTGGTACGCGGAAATTTTGAATGCGGATGAGGATAAAAATGTTGGAAACTTTCTCGCGCTGATCAAACTCGTTGCTCAGTATGACCCATTGTTAGCAAAACACGTACAGCACGCAGGAGAAAATCCGGGATCAGTTTCTTATTTGTAACCAGAAATCCAGAATGAATGTATCCACATATTTGCGTCGACTGTAAAGAACCAATTGTTGAGTGATATCAGGAAAAACAAGTACTACGGTATCTTACTTGACTCAACTCCTGATCTAGGACATCGGGAACAGCTTTCTCAGGTCACAAGATTTGTGGATGTGGATTTTCAAACTAAAAAGTAAGATACATGCAAAAGATGCAGCAAGCCTAGAAAGAGTCATCGTCGAGAGACTGAAATCTGACAACATACCTCGAGCCGACTGTCGGGCACAATGTTATGACAATGCTGCTGTGATGTGACTCGGCATATATCCGGCCTTCAACAACGAATATGTGACAAAAAACACAGAGCATTGTTTGTCAACTGTGACAACCACAGCTTAAACTTAGCAGGAGTACACTCAGCTAAACAGGATCCACTTGTCACATTTTTTGGAACAGTTGAAAGTATATATTTGTTTTTCTCTCGTTCAACAATTCGTTGGGAAGAATTAAAAAAGCTGTGCCCATCACAGTAAAGCGGGAGTCTGAAACACACTGGAGTGCACGATCAGAAGCTGTTAAAGCTATCTTGAAGGACTGGATGAACTAGTAGAGCTGCTAGACAAATTATTGGAGGACGTAACTATGACGCCTGAAACCAGAAGTGATGCAGAACAGTTACAGGCATGCGTATTAAATTTTAACTTCATAGTTTTATTACATTTCTGGAATGTCATTCTTGGAAAAATTGATCGTGTTCAGAAGCGCTTACAGGATCCTACTATGAATTTCAAGTAAGCAGCAACTGATCTTGAATCTTTGGAGCATGAATTTTTCAAGCTTCGTGATGATTTGAGCCAAGTTGCTGTAGAAAACGCCAAAACAAGATGCACAGCCTGGGGGATCGATGTGGACAGAAAAATTAGGCGACGTCGGAAGATGCCAGGAGAACTGGCAAGAGATACAGGACTTTCAGCAGAAGAAGAAATTGTGCGCGTTATGAAGAGTGTATTTTTTCCACTTCAACAGGAGATGTCAACACGGTTTTTACGACTAAAAGACCTGAACACAAAATTTGGATTTCTGCTGGACGTCAAAACTCTTCTATCCGACACAGATGTCGATGCAATTCGTCGAAATTGCACAGATTTTGGAAATTTCTATGACACCGACATCAATGGCCACGAACTTTTCACAGAAATTGGAGATTGCAAAATGCTACTCAGTAACCGGACTGAAGTTCTACCAGAAAATCCTTTGGATCTTCTTGGTTTTATAGTGTTTTATGGAGTCGACATATTTCCGAATTTCACTGCAAATTTTATTAACAATAGCAGTTTCAATTGCAAGCTGTGAGCGGTCGTTCAGCAAATTGAAACTTATTTTGTCGTATTTGCGTGCTTCAATGGGACAATATCGTCTCAGCGATCTTGCTCTTCTTAGCGTTGAAAGAGAAACATTGGAAAAAATCAGATTTTGATTACGTGATTGACCAGTTTGCGATAGTGAAATCAGGAAAAACGAATCTTTTGTAGACTATGTCAACCAGTCTACGACAGTGACTAAGTGAGCCATGTAATATAATTTCTATAAATTTGCTTCTTTAAATACAATGTTTCATTAAATTTTAATTGTTATTCCTTTTTCGATGTAATAGGAAAATGTGATTAAACGGGGGGGGGGGGGGGGGCGCCATATTTATAGTTCGTCCCCGGGTGCAAAATATCCTAGCTACGCCTTTGGTCCTCGGGTCTCAACCGCTGGCTCAGGTCGGGGGATCCTCAGGGTCCTAACCTATTGACCACTGGCCTCACTGAGCCCCGGCCCTTATAAGGACAGCGGGGCTTGGGGTCCAGGGTCCTATTTTCAGGTGGGCTTCTGGGTCTTCGGCTTGAGGCGAACTGCCTCAGCCGCTCTGGGGTCTGGCTTTTATGGGGCTCCCAGGGTCACCCCGCCCCTGGTCATGCCCACCATCTGGAACCTTCTCGAGGGACCTGGATTGTTGCGCAATCCTCCCCAGCCCCTCACCCGGGGGCCTGGGGTGTCCCGCTCTGGTTCCCAACCGTCCCCCCCGGGATGCCTGACCCACAAGTCCTGCTTCGCACAGGCCGGACTCGCTATTGCCCCCTGTTGGCCCCTGCGGTGTATTACCCACCATACTACCATAATAATAGTCCAGAAATATGTGGGATGCGCGTGACGTCATTCCACATGCCGCCCCCCCGTCATTAATAATAACATAATTATGCGCGGGTGGATTTTTACACTCACGCAGGTCGAGCAGAAATAATTTATTTTCGCAAATTCGCTTTAAGTTTGACGTTTGATAGTAAATGTAATAAATAATTCTACGCAGCAACAAAGTGGATTTGGTGTCTTTATTTATTTCTTCAGCACTTGAGTCAAAAGGTAAGTCTAATGTATGCCTCTACATTATGGTAAAATATACTTCTCGGTGATTTTCCACATGTTGCATCGATTTTCAAATTATTTCAACCACAGCGACCGAAAGCAGAAGAGAATAAAGTATCAGAGCAGTAAATTTGAACAAATTGAATTTGAGTTTATATACAGTGCTACAGTGACATTAAGTGAGGTGTTTTATTGCGTAGTTTTGTGTAAGAATCACTGCCATTAATATAGTGCTACAGTGCACTGCAGTGAAGTGTTTGATGACGTACTTTTGTAAAAGATTAATTGCCATTAATACAGTGCTACAGTGCACTGCAGTGAAGTGTTTGATGACGTAGTTTTGTGCAAGATTCACTGCCATTAAATTTACACAAGATACAATTATACTCTGCTCGATTTTTTTCGTAAATATTACAGCTTCCGTCCTAGGACGGGCAAAGAAGCTAGTTGTATGAGAATAGGTTTTACCCTTTCTGCCAATAAAATAGGTGTTAAGATGTTAAAACACCAAACGGAAACCTTTGGCAAGGAATCATGTCTGCATTAACCACATATACTTGTGATAAGCGTGCAAACAAAAAACATGCTCTGGTAGTATATGATGCATTGTCTTTTAAACTGATTGGTTCCACACCAGAGACCGCTTTCTTTAGAGCCTAGTCTCAAACAGTGCTAGACCAGAGGACGCCAAAAGGCAAATAGCACAAAGATCTATTCTTATATTTTGATACTGGTAAGGGAGGTCCCATGATGTTACTATTGTGTTTGTCTTTACTTTGGGATGCCACAATTTTACTATTTACAGCTTTATCGCTAAAATTAACAATGGTAAATTAGGCTTTGGCAACTTAGTTATACACCCAAGTGGCAAAGATAATCCAGGAACGAATGTGGGTTTGCCATCCCAGATTTAAATGTTTTACTGCGTCTCCTCTGAAGCGTGTCGGGTCGTATTTCTTAAAGCATTGAATTTACCTGGAACAAGTTTTGTGGTGGTGAAAACCGGTTTGGGGGGGGGGGGGTATGAGAGTGCATTGTTTAAACTTGCTCATAGCCATTCGGTACCATAGTGAACAAACTATTTCACCAAGCCGTGCGCCTAGGAACGTGAGTGGCATTGCATTGGAGGTGTTCATCACTCGTCACCATCGTCGTCAGTCTGTCTAATCAAACCTGCCGCTAGATTAAGTACGACAATGTATTTACTCCATACGAGTGGATGAGCGTGTGAGTGTGCGCGCTAAAGACGTGTACAACTCAAACGCCGGTAAGACTTTATAACTTGTACGTTTGTTCGACGTGCTGCACGCGCGTGTTGCGTTCTCTCTGTTTGTGTGTGTACGCATTGTCTACGTGTCGCAACCTCACTTACTGCTACGCAGGTGCTCGCAGTTCTGCTGAAGACATCCTCAGATAAGACATCATCAGATAAGCTTGCACTTCTTTTTTGGAGAGGGGGAGTACATTGCAGTGACGTTAATTGACAATATTGGTTGGGTATCGAGAGTTTTCTCCAGCATTTAGATGTCGCAACATTGTAGAATTAAATGTATAGTTGCGAACGTTTGATCTATGTTTAAAAAAAAACTCTGATGTTACTGTATTTCGTTTTGTGTTGTTCCCATTGGTTGTGTCGCAGTTAAAGTTAACAGAGGGGAAAATGGCACGGAATTATTTACGTCTTCTAACTCTCCTGGCGGTTCTGTTAAGTGCCCAAGGTAAGTCCTGAATGTTCGTGTTTCTCACTGGGGAAATTAATGACTTGAACAGTTGATAAAGCAGTAACGATCATGCAAAAAAATGTCATGCTTTATACTCATTGGTTCTTTCGGTAAAGTCACGTATGTCACAATAAAATAATATAAAAATAAATCACGACGTTTCGAACATAACACAAGCGCTCGCCCTCAGGTGAAAATAGCTGTAGACCACACAGCTAGGGATCACACAGAGGGACATCACGCAGAGCGTACAGAGAATGGCAAACTGCACGGAGGCAAATACAGCAAGAAGATGGGAGAGGCGCGAGGGAACACACAGAGGGACATCACACGCAGAGCACACCGGGACTGCAGGAATTACTATACTCATTGGTTCTTTTGGTAAAGTCACGTATGTAGAAATAAAATGCACGGAGGCAAATACAGCAAGAAGATGGGAGACGCGAACTCAGCAAACCTTAAAAATATAATGCGATGCAACCCAATCGACCAACAACACAGTTAGACACTAAACCTGGTTGACCACGTATTTCAAAAGACTGCAAAATATTGTGGTCATCTTCTAGGTTGAACACACCAACGTAAATAGAGGATAAGGACTCGTGAACAGACACGAGGTACAAGGAAGCAGAGATACATACACAAAGAAGACACAGGGAAAGGTGTTTTAGGCAGTACAGAGGGACACAACGAACACCACACCAAGAGACATACACCAGTGGCGGCTCCTGCAAAATCTCTCAGGGGGGGCAAATGTCTGGATGATTGATAAGGATAAGGTCCACCCATGCAATGGATAAATTAACAGCTTAAGCATGTAAAGGCAACTTCACTTCTTTAATATTAATGAAAAATAAAGTGACTCTTACAATACATCTTGTTTGTTTCTATACTCACTATTAATACAATCCACTCAAGTTTCTTTTATTAAAGATTCCACTAGGTGGCGACAAATTATATTGTTTGATGAAACGTGCTTACGTATGATGACGTAAGCACGTTAGGGCGAGCCCTCCCGGAAGCCATAGAGAATGCATTGCAGCGCCCCCCGGTCGAAAAAAAACATCTTTGAATGTAAGTCTATGGGGCCACTCGGGGCGATTCTCAGCCGGAGTGAAATCGCCCAAAAAGAGGCAGTACTCCACAGAACGTGACATGACGCTGATTGGACTATATCCAGAGGCACAGTGACGGCTAGCGTGACTCTGTGGTTCAATGACATTGGTGGTGCGTCGCCCAATCGCCCTAATGAAGAAACCGCCCCTGACATACACACAGAAAGATGCCGGGAGGGATAACGTACAGGGACTTACATAGGCTGTAGAGGTGGGGGAAGGGAAGTGTAACCGTGCATGGACATGCAAATACCAATGCAGGAAACAAATCGGGGGAAACACATGGGAAAACGAAAACGGAGAAAGCACAGCAAGAACATTTTCTTGCTGTGGTTTTCACACCTTGATGGTGATTGCTTGTGTTGCAATCGAAACGTCGTGATAATTTTATTGTAAAATTTTTTATTATTTTATTATTTCCCTTCTACGTGACTTTACCGAAAGAACCAAGAATATGAATCCCTGCAAGTCACGAAAGCTTTAAATCGAAATTTAAGTGCTGTAATGTTGACATCGTGAATAAAGTGGCCCGGAAAGAAAAGACAAGAAGTCATCCACCTAAAATCTACAACACTACACATATATGTAGTAGCTACATATATGTAGTAGCTACAGGCCCTGCGCTTTCAAAGGCCCCGTGCTAGATGCTTTCAAGCTATCAATTCCAGTTCAGTGATTCTACACTTGTTCTATAACTATTGTATTATACTGCCTTCAACTTTTATGAACGACTGGGTATTTAAGGTTAGCGATTTGTCGTATTATCTGGCTGTATAGAAAATAAAAAAAATACAATTACTTACTATACAGGCCCCGTACAAGCTTAATCCGGCACTGGATCGCGTAAATACATAAATGTGTCGTTAAACCCACCACCACCCGCCACCACCCGCAACAGCCAATTAGTAAGGGGGTTGTCATGTAAACAGAACATGCCAAATTCCTTACTAGTCCAGCACACTGGTGTGTTGGAGAGCCAAGCCACAACATTTACAATCTGAGTACGACGTTTCGCCAGTAATTACAACTAGCTTCATCAGTCACCTGATTGGCATGTTCTGTTTACATGACAAACCTTACTAATTGGCTGTCGCGTGGTGCCAGGTTTAACGACACATTTATATATTTACGCGATCTAACCCAAAAATCCTGCATTATGGATGATATTGGTCGCAAAAGCCTACATGTTAAAAAGGCCCGGAACGTTCAAATCAGTAGTAAAAACTATTCTTAAAATTGTTGAACCAGATAATTTAGAAATGCATCTTCTGTGTTAAAAAAAATCAAATACAACGATTCATTCAACGTGAATTGCCTAATGAAGATAACATTTTAAAGTTCATATTAGAAACCGCTGTAACACCACAGCCTGATTTTTATCCGGGGGTGGCTGTGAAGGTGTCCGAGTGAGAGATATACCTTCGTTCATTGCGATTAGCTTCACATTTTAGCCACGCCGTTTGAGACCCATTCAAGGTGGGGAAAAGGCACCCATGGCTGTAATGAGACGATGTCACGCTGCGAGGTCGCACTGTGCAAATGTAACAGGTCACGGCTTTTGGCAGTCTCAAAGGGGTTGTGTCGTGTGGACTTGAGGTTCATGGAGACAGCATTTGAGTGCTTTGTTGTTTTGCTTCATATTGTTTATAAATGCCTACTGTTGGTAGATAAGACAGTTCTATCACTTTCACGGGAAGGCCAATAACATGACAAGGTTTTTCTTAATTAGAACACCATCTTTTCAAAAGTCACTCACAACAGCCCCACCTAATGGAAATGTCACGAGCCGCCACTGCCGATTGTACTGTTGTGTCCTGTCACGAGACAGAGTACACTACCCATTCGAATTTCAAGGAGGCAAGTGCAATACTTTTTAGTCGCTGGACCAGAGCAGAAATTGGTCCCACTTAAAGTAGAACCACTGTACTCTTTGGTTATTTCGGTAAAGTCACGTAGAAAAAAAAAATCAAATAATAATAGAATACGACATTTCGGTTGCAACACAAGCAACCATCATCAGGTAAGAATGAATGATAAAACACAGACGCGGAAACAACATAGGCAGACAACATGCAGAGAGAGACACACACACAAAGGCACACCGAGTGAGACACATACTAAGATAAAACACAGACACGGCAAAACATAGGCAGACACACATGCAGAGAGACACAACAACAACAACAACAACCGCCATTCGCCACTAAGTGGCGGTGACGTCACCACGATGCTTGTGCCAGGCCAAGTGCACCTTGAGGCCACGTGAAGTGTCGAACGCCCGCTGGCAGGAGGTCACGGGGCAGACCCAGGTGCCACGGGTCGACTGACCGAGATGACCGAGATGACTGGCTGATGCACCACCTGTGCCCCCTACTGTACCAACTTGCTGTGCTTTAGCCACCCGGCGCTCCGCTCGTTGTTGTGAGCGTCGCTCCTCCGCCCTCCGTTGTTGTTGGAGGGCGACTGCCTCCAACTGCCCAGTAGCGTCCTTCACGAGCCTCCTCCACTGAGGCCGATCTTGACACCGCTGGTACCAGTCATCGGCAAGTCCACTCAGCTTCACGTCCTCCTGTACCACATCATTCCATCTCTTCTCCAGCCCGTGCCGCGCCCGTCTAGCCCCCTCGATCCGGCCGAACAAAAGCTGTTTAGGCATGCGGTGGCTGGGCATGCGGGCTACATGACCCAGCCAACGCAGCCTTGCCTGCCGGAGGAGCTCACTGATGGGACTTTGCCCAGATCTTTCAAGGATTTGTGAGCTCCTCACACAATCCAGCCTGGTTAAACCCAGGATGGATCGTAGGCAGGCCAGCCTAAATGTTTCCAACCGGCGAAGATGCTCCACTAGGGGGGTCCACGTTTCGCAAGCGTAGAGAAGGGAGGGAATGACCGTGGCCGAGAAGACCTGAAGCTTCGTGCGGAGCGACAGACCAGGTAGCTTCCACACAGCGTTACGCAACCGATGAAAAGATATTGCCGCTCGACTGATTCGGAGTGAGACCTCTGCTGATAAACTGGAGCCGGTCATAAGCACACTGCCCAGGTATGGGAAACTCTCTACTCTCTCCACAACTGCCCCATCACCAATTGGGAGTTGTGGGGGTGGAGTGTCCGATGGTACAAAATACCCAGGCAGGTGCTTAGTTTTGGTGGGGCTGATGGTAAGGCCCCACCTCTTAGTGGCACGCTCCAGTCTCAGCAGCAGCGTCTCCAACTCCTCTTCTGAATGAGCAGCTATTACCAAATCATCGGCATACATAACGTGGTTGACCAATAGGGAGCCATCCCTTGATCGCACCCGGGCATCGATCAGCCTCCCATTATATCTGTACCAAATGGAAATTCCCCCGGCACAGCTATTGAAGGCTTCACGAGCTACGCGGTCAAAATAGATGTTAAATAATGTGGGAGCCAGAGGACATCCCTGTCGCACCCCAAGGTGTACAGGGAAAGGCTCCGACTCCCGGCCACGTAGTTTTACCCGGGCCCGCTCACCATCATGAAAGTCCTTAATGATCGTGAGCAGAGGGTCAGGGACTCCGAAAGCACGAAGAACAACCCAGAGCCCAGTCCTACTGATGGTATCATAGGCCTTGACCAGGTCAATAAAGCAGAGATGTAGGTCTTTTTGGAATTCCCTACACCTCTGCTGTAGCAGACGGACAGAAAATATGGCATCTGTGCAGGACAAACACTTGTGTCAAGGCCTTAAATTGGAACGAAAAAAATTGGAACGACAATACGACCTCAGGTGGGACTGACAAGTGAAATAGCTTGTCTGGTCACACAGTTGAGGCAGAACTTTGCCACACACTTTGCTACAGAAAATAATGTACGTAACACGACATTTAAAATAATATACAGTACAGCTGTAATTTACAT